GAAAATGGACGTTGTTAAGCGTTAGCAGTTCATAATTCTTCCACACAAAATGATGAATAATGTGTGGTTACTTTAACACTGTGTCTCACAAAGCTGGAACACTGAACCAGTCCCAGAGTCTTAGAATTAATGTAAATTCTCCAAAAGCAGTTATGTAATTTTCTCACTTTAATGTACCTTCAACATCATTAGTATTAATCACAATCCTCACTTTCTATGAGTGCAGTAAACCAAGTAATTCTTAAAAACTGAGCTTTAAAAAGAACCTTGATTTAAAAGTCTCTCAAACCTTGAGATAGTTTGCAGGGCAAAGTCAGAATGTGACTCCTTGAGTTTTAAACTAAAGAGTTCACAAAGTTTTAAGATTATTTTTTCTGTTCTTGTTTTGTACAAGAATTTTTATTCTGACTCAGATTCATTTTTCTTCAAATCAGCTGCGAGAGAGCGAACAAACTGCTGCAAATCAAAGTCTTGACAGTTATATTTCCCTGAGATAATTGCATGCTGCTTTGGAGTTTCCTTTTCCCCTCTGTTTCCTTTTGTTTTGACAACAAGATTCTGGGAAAACAATATACAAATGATAGCTCTGCTGTCACGAGCATACTGAATTTTAAAAATAAATAACTGTCGACCCGAAAAGCTTCCAGGAGCCTATGGAGTGAGTTCTTTTTCCAAACTGTTCCAAAACCAGATGTGGAAATGTTTAGCTAATTCCCCACCCCATTCTCCATGCAAAGAGTTCCTCCGTGTCTCTAACGACATCAGAGGAGATGGGGAGGCAAAAATCCCATCTGCTTTCAAGGAGATTTGTGTTACACTGCTCGATTCACTCACTAACATCACAAAACTAATTTGGACCTCAGCCTTTGTCACCCTTAAAAATGGTTTCTTCCCAAGATTAAAAATGCTCTGTGTTTAGACCAGTATTCAATCTCTTTCTTGTAAGACATTAATAGAACTCAGGATAAGAACATTTAAAATCTACTCGTTTAGCAATTTTGAAATATACAACACATTGTTATTGACTATAGTCATACTATGCAATAGATCAGCAGAACTTACTCCTCCTGTCTAACTCAAACTTTACCCTTTGACCATCTCCCCTTCCCCCACCCACTGCCCACCTCCCCAGCCTCTGGTAACCACCAATTCCACTCCACTTCTATAAACACGTGAGGTGATAAATATGTTATTTAGCTTGATCAAATCATCCCACAATGTATACATATATCATAACATCACATTGTACTCCATAAAAATATACAATTTTTATTTGTCAATTTCAAAACGATCAGCTTCTGAACTTTATAAGCAGCACTTTCAGCATAAAAAAATTAATAATGGAGACTTAAGTGGTAGTTCTTCTTTTCTGTTTCCTTTTTCTTTTGGGGGGGAGAGGGGACTGTAATCCATTCTATTCCTGTATATTAGGAGAAAAGTGAGCTGCCTTGATTTCAATGTACTTCTAGATCTCAGTCTTGCTTTGCTAATCTAATTTTATCATTCTCAGGGACTGATATAGTTATCTCCTAAACATAAGCACTCTGAACTTAATCAAAAGAGCAGCCTTAATTGCAGGAAGAAAAAAAAAAGAAATAAAGTTCATATTCTCAAATTTAAATGTTTCATGATTTTTTTCAAATATAAAAAATTTATTAAGAATTAGGGAGTTCTAAAGAAAGAGAGAAGGAGGAAAACTGTTAAAGGAGTTAAGGGGAAATGTATATGCATAAACCACATTTAGAAAAACAAAAAGCTACTTGTACTCTGTGGCTGCAAGGAAAGCCAACATTTTGCATCCAGGTGTTATTAGCAGCTGGTTTGTCCGGCTTCTCTATAGCTCACTTCAGGACGGTACATACCAATAGCCGAACCCTGCTTGGCTATTTTAATGCATCCAAGCTCATTCTTTCTGGAATGTCGCAGGGATAACCTGCAATCAAGTCAAAATGGTACTATAGTAATGCAGACCTTGAGACCTGCTTTCTAACAGCCCAGACACCTCAGCTAGGCAGCTGCCCCAAGGTGAACACTCCCTTCTTTGCATTAATTTCTTCCCCAATCCTCAACTCCCCCTCAGCTCTGAAGATTTCTGGAGACTTTAAATAGCATTTTGTCTACAGCTCCCAGGATGCTATGTACAGTCCCGACTCTGGCTAAAAATACCTTCCGTTTGGCACCCCACACAGCCCGCTCTTCTGACATCCCCTTCGCATCCCTAGCCCCTCAGCCTTCTCTTTCTCCCAGGAACCAGAGCCCGCCTTCCCTATCCCTTGTCCAGGATCCCACTCTGCCAGCACATCTCAGCTACGTGTTGGAAAAGCCAGCTGATCTGCTGCATTCCCACTGTGTTGTGAATGACTTGTAACCATCCCCAAACACACACACACACACACCCCTCTGCCCTTCACTGGGAACTGCAGACAGAAGGGGAAGGGAAGTTGCCCTGTTTTGATGACCTGTACTCAGCAAAAGGGAGCAAGTCCCAAAGTGTGACACTGAGCTAGGCGTTAGCTCTCTCCCCTCAGAGAGTACAGCCTCAAACATGGATCCGACTGACTTCCTTTTTAAGCTTTATCCGAGCTCCAAGGTATGTTGTCACATGCATAGGCATCTTCGTTTGGCAATCTGTTCCTGGCTTTAAGAAAATCAGAGGAAACAGATTCTGTCCTGTCCAAGTTTGACATTTGTGCTAAATGAACCCCCAAACTCCGTGTTGTTACTGAACCCCTCCCTATGAGACTGATTCAGTGCAGTGTAATTCAAGAAGTGGATATGGGGGTGGGGGGATGAGGTGGTCTAAAATGATTTCTTGGGGGGACAACTGTCTGGCTTCTCAGAGAATCTTGGCTTTTTATAACTATGTGGACTACCCGTGAGAGGCATGGGGAAGAAAGAGGAGTATACGAAACGAGCTTGAGGGAGGGAGAGGAAATGTGTGGCTTCACTCCCTGGACAAGAACGGCCCTCAACTTGGGTCTCAATCTGAGGGTTTTGGACTATTCCAGGAACTACTTCAAGAGGAGGTTTTTGTTCAGGACAAATAGGCCCAGGCTGTGAGATGATGTTAAGGAAAGAATGAATCAAAGCAGGAGAGAGGGGAAGGGAAGGAGAAAGGCAGGGAGGGAGAGAAAGCCACTCGTAAGCACGCTCAGGACAAGGTGTCCTTTGGACCAAGACAATAGTGCGGGAGTGATGGGGTGATTGGCTCAGCATCTGAAAGGCACCCAGTACACAGCATGCAGCATTCTGCAGCTGGCGGTCTGTTTACTTAACTGTTGAGTCACCCAGGACCAGCTCACACCAGAATTTCCTTATTCTTGTTGTTGTTGTTTTATTGTGTTTGTTTGTGGGTTTTCTTTGGGGGGAGGAGCGTAAGGGGATAGGTTTTGTGCTTGTTCGTTGCTACTGCTTTGAGTTTTGCCTTGTGAAAAACAAAAAAAAGGGTCCCAGGTGGTCCCAGGAGAGACATCGCAGCATGAACAAAGAGAAAAGGAAAGGAAGACGCCCTGCAGACCCCTTAGGCTTTTCTTTAAACCCAACACCCCCTGCCACCCCTTGCCCTGAGACAATGAGAAGTCATTAAGGAGAGAGTGAGAGATGGCAAGACCAATCTGTACCCATCGGAACAAAGCATTTCATCCAGCCCAGTGCACTTCTCTAGTGGGCTCCTATGCCATGGTTTCCATTAAAGAATGCAGTGAATTCATCAATATCAAAGGAAAAGAGCTGCATTTTTTTTTTTCTTTCTTTTTTTTTTTGCAACTGGGGAAAAGGGAAGGAAAGAAAGGTCTTGGGATGCTTTTTAGCACAGTGCCATGCACATAGTAGGCATTCAATAAATATTCATCAAAGAATGAATTATTTTCTGCAGGGGTTACTTAGCACAGAACAAAAATGAATCCCTATACTTAAGCACGTATATTTCCTTCCACGTTTTAGGCACTTCTGTATTTGATTTATGCCATTTTCACTTTTAAAACGAAAGCTGAGTTGGACAACATTCGATGATGTTCCTCTTGCTTTCTCCTTTCTTCATGTGCCACCTCCCTTACATAGCATGTTTTAGACATTTAGAGTTACTTTTTTCTCCCCACTACTCTGCCTGCCACTCTTTAAGAGGTAAAGAGGCAACGGAACTAGGAGGTGGCCACAGAGCTTCCTACAGAAAAAAGAAGAAAGGAAAAGCTAGTGAGAGTAAAAGAAGAATATAAAGGAAAGATTTTAGGAGATATCGTGTCAAACAATGTATAAAGTGCAAACTCAATACTCCCTTTCTTTAATATAGGACTTTTAAGTAGTTTTAATGTGTAATGTGCATTGAAAAAATTTTAAATTAAATCCAGCAAGTTTTTATGTTTTTGCAGTTTCACCATTTTACAAGGTGTCCCAAAGAATGTACCAGAGAATCTATTGGTCATCATGACTTAGGATACTATACAACTGGAGTTTAGGAAGCATTAATTTGAACATTTTAAGGGAGCCACTCAGCAAAATTTCAGTATTTGGTTGTCAGGAATAAACCATAATTTCTTCTTAGGTTTTTATTTAATTAAACTTGTAGCTAACCAAAAATAAGGCAATAGGGAAGGGGTTTATTAGTATGATCTACGTGAGGACATGGGGGCCCTTAAAGAGGGGCCTGTTGTCAGCTTGGATGAAACTGTATTTCCCGTCTTCTTATTTAATGTTTGGCACAAAACCTGTTTTGGTTTTGTTTGGGGGTTACACACAAATGGTTGCCACTCCTGATTAGTGGAATCTCATTCTACCTATGAGGGATATGTGTTTTATGCCAGACAGCATGGCAAAGCCATTTAAAGAAGCCATTGTAGTCATCTATAAGCACATGAGTTCCAGCAATGATATTAAAATTCAGTTCTCTCTCACAGGAATGTTTTCCTCGTCTTAATGCTTTAGGAACAGCCTTTGCTTACAAAAAAAGAAAGAAAGAACTAGGAAATAAGATGACTTGCCTCTTGTGTTTTTGTGTGCTCTAGAAATCCTCACTGGACAGCCTCCTGTTTCCTGAGGGGTGTTACCTGATTGGCTTCAGGGATGAAAGCTTTTGAGTTGATAGGAGGGCTGGTCCTCCTCACCTCTGTGTTTTCAGCCTGTTATGGACAAAACCCAGTGACTGTGCTGTGCTCCATAGACTGGTTCATGGTCACGGTCCACCCCTTCATGTTGAACACTGATGTATATGTCCACTTTCACGAGTTACACTTGGGCCTGGGTTGCCCTGCCAACCATGTTCAGCCACACACCTACCAGTTCACCTATCGTGTTACTGAATGTGGCATTAGAGCCAAGGCCATCTCTCAGGACACAGTTATCTACAGCACCGAGATGCACTACGCTTCCAAGGGCACATCATCTAGATATGCGATCCCAGTGTCGTGTGCTGCCTCGCAACAGTCGCCATGGCTCACTATGCCCCGCTCCATGACAGTAGCCAGCAAGAGAGGAACCACGGCCCAGAAAGATGAGACTTGCTACGAGGCGTACAGCTTGTCACAGTCCTGCCAAAGGTCCAACTGCGATTGTCCACCTTGTGTCTTCAATGAAGAAGGGCATACTCAGGCCTCATATTACTAAGCAGAGGCTCTGGGGGCCCATTCTGCTCAGTCACCTTACTTTGTTGATTTTTCTGAGGATTGGCGTCTTCACTCGCATGATCTGCTTGGGCCCATGTGATCCCAGGTTTCGGGTCTCCTAAAGATGCTGTTTCTAGAATTAGTGTGTAGAATTTACTAATATCAGACAAATAAGTACTCTCGTGGCCCTCTCAATTAGTACCTTTGAGAAAGGGCAACCCCATAGCAACTTAACGAATAAAGCTTTTTTATATTTTTATACCTTTTTTTAAAAGAAAAATAAAATTCTGATGGCATAAAAATATCATTTGGGCATTTTATTTAATAAACATATATATGTATGTACCTTTTGCTATGAGCCAGGCACTGTTCTAAGTGGTTTGTAAACATTGGTACCTGGTCTCATCTCTCCAGGCTGACTTACCTCTCCTTTAAAGTCTTCCAAGAAAGCCTTCCCCAACTGAATTTCTCTATCTGTTTCCCCGTTTCATTTACCTTCTGCACCACTAACTTAGTACTTAGCTACACACTTTCTTTGTTTGATCTACAGTTGTATCACTTTTCATCCATGGAAAGAACAGGTTGCACTAGTGATTTATAAACCACCAATGGTTCTAAGACTCATTCAAGTCACATGCTAAGCTCATGAGTGAGGCCAAAAGCTGAATCTTACACTTTAGTGACAGACTGATAGTACTTTGAAAGAAATTTTCCCCCCAACATATATGATCAGAAAGTGCTCACCACAGTTTGGCTGTCCATTAGCTTTCTCAAAGGCTTGGAGGGGTAAGAGTAAGTGAATTGTTCAACAAATATACATTACTGAGTGCTATGATATGCCAGGCACTGCTCTAAGCACTGAGGATATGGCAGAGAACAGAAAGGGACTCGTAGAAATTGAAGACACACATCTAGTAAACAAAAGAGCAAACAAAGATAAATTCAAATGCTATAAGACACACATCTAGTAAACAAAAGAGCAAACAAAGATAAATTCAAATGCTATAGAGAACTTAAAGTGATATGTGAGAAATTAGAGAAGAAAGGAGCTGGAGTAGCTAAGGAGGGCCTCTGAGGATTTGTCATTTGAACTGAGTCTTTAATGTGAAGAAGGAGCCTGGGATGATCTGGAGAGAAAATATTCCAGATAGTAGAAGCATCTCAGTTAATCCTCACTACAGCCTATGAGAGAAGTATTCTAACCGTACCCATTTTAGAAATAAGGAAACAGGCACAGAGTGGTTAAGAAACTTGCCCAAGGTCACACATCTATTAAGAAGCAGACTATTTCAAAACATCGTGTTGTATACCATAAATGTATGCAATTTTTGTTTTTAAAAATAAATTAATGTTTTTTTCAAAAGCAGAAGGTTTGCACATGTTAATATAGGCAAAGTGCTTCAGCAGATGAGTAGATATCAGAAATTCAGTCACAGTAGTTGAAGAAACATAGCTGTTCATTTAAAAATCTCCTGCCTCTTCTTGAAGAAAACCAGGTAATAATCCCTGAAAATAGTGTATTCATGCAACAAAGTTTTATTGAGTTTGTGCTATGTGCTGGGAACTATGTTAAATGCTGAGGATGCAACGGTGAGCAAGACTAACAGTCTAAACAAGGGGGTGGGGAACAGATAAAGAAGTGTAGGTAGTTAGAAGCTATTGAGGCTATTCCAGAGACTGGGCCTGTGCAGAGACATGAGGACCTGGGCTGCGGTCATCAGAGAAAGTACAAGTAGTCTAGTCCAATACAATGGAGACAGGGTGGAGGGATGGTTGATGCTGGTGAGGTGGTGGTAAGGGATGGCGCTAGAGAAGTAGCAGTATATGAGACTATGTACCAAACAACAGAACTAACATTTCCCTCCCCCATCCTCTCTTCAGAAGCTTAAAGATTATGAAACACTAAGACACATACAAGCAACTTAGCAAACGATTACTAGATGCATTAGACCTGGGCTACTAGGTGCAAGTTGAGCATTTCACAACCGCAAGGGGCAATATTCACAGAGACACCCTGTGGAGTTGTGTAATGTATCAGTCTTGGAAGAGACTCAAGCCCTCCACGGTAATAACAGTACTTACCATGTGCAAGATACATTATACACATGATCTCATTTAATACAACAGTTCTTCAAGGTAAAAATTCTTTTCCCTGTTTTATAGATGAGGAAACAGAAGCTCAGAGAAATTGAGGTTGTACGGTTAGTAAATGACATCACTGGGACTCAAACCCAGGTTTGTCTAGCTCCAAAGTCTACTTTCCCCTCTATACTCAACACTCCTTCCTAGAGTCTTCTATGTGGATTGGAAGAATCAGGAAGGTTTCCTGGTAGAGGTAAGCAATGACCCCACTCTTAGAAGATGAGGAGGATGTGGCTAAGCAGAGAAAAGGAAGAACATTCTCTGTGAGCATAAGCACTGGGCCAGGGAGGAGAAGAGAATGAGAACCATTTCAAGTGAAGAACAGCAGGACATTTTAGCCTACAGGAAACAGTTAAATGTCTATATAAGCCCCATTCATGATTGAGAGAGAAATTGAGTAATTTGGAACGTGGAAAGCTCCAGGCCCTGGAGCAGAGAGGACAGGCTTCATGGAAAACATAAGACATAAGCTAAGCTCTGATCTGTCTGACTCTGACCGGATATATATGAAAAAAAAAAAAAAAAAAGATTGACTCAAAGAAGATGTCACCATTTAGAGCCCTAGAAGCTCAGAAGACATGGTAAGCTCTGGATTTAAGTAAGGAAATTGGGATGAGAGTAAAGGATAGGGATGAAGACGAGTCTAGGTTGAACATGTTGAGTTTGAGATGATAGTGACATCCAGCTGGGTATGTCCAGGAATCAGCCCAAGAGACTGAGCTGGGAGGTAAAGCCTTGGGGAGATCATATGCAGAATTCCCTAACAGTCCTCAAGGCATCATTAGGAAAAGTGGAAGAAAGGACAGACATCAAAGGAGACAGATGAGAAGTGATCAGCGAGATGGGAGAAGTATAACACCTGGAATTCAGGAAGGAAAGCTGGGTGGGCTATAGTGTCCAGTGCAACAGACAAGCTAGGATGGAGTAAGCCTAGGCCTTAAGGAATTGGGAGCCTTTGAACTGGACCTTAAGTGAGAGGTAGAATTTCATCAGGGGAAGATGGACGGGAAGGGTATTCTAGGCAAAGGGAACAGCAAGAACAAAGATGCAAAGAAACATTGTGGTCAAGAATCATACTTTGCATGGGTTTACATCTCAGTATAACTAGGCATAATATTTTGAAATTCAACAGTAATCTATACTTGACTTGAACATATCATGACTCGGTAAATGTGTACTTTAGCAATTTCAGGTGCAGGTTTGCTCTTCTCAACTCAATTATAAGCTTCTTGAGTCTGGGGGAGCCTGTCTTGTTTGCTTTGCTTTTCTCTTACGTAGTCCTTGCTGAAGATACCCAGTAGGTGCTCAATCCAGTTGACTGACTGAAAGACTGAGTGATACTAGGAAAGGGCCTGAGAGTCCACAACCAAAGGAACCATTCTAAAGATGGGAAGGTTAAAACACTTTAAGAAAAAACTGCATCTTGAATTGAACAATTTATTTGCCTTTTGAAATGCCGCGCCAAAAAAGTGTTGCATGGAAAGCTCTGACTTGGGCTCTTCTGTCATCCCCTTTCCCTTCCCCTTCCTTCCTCTCTCTTCATCAGTTGCCATGTCATGGGGACACTCTCAGATAACCTATAGAGAAGGCCACAAGAGAGGAACTGAGCTCTTCTACCAACGGCCACTTAATTATTAAGGTGACGTGATTTACAAATATCCATCACACAGTGTTAATCATTTTTTGCAATAATAATAATAAAAAAGCTTTATTACCATCAAAAGAAATGAGCATTTTCACCTTTCAATCTCTGGGAAAGCCAAAAATGTCTGAAACCATTTGTTATGATAATTGCTTGTCAAATATTTTTAAATTAGAGTCATAATGAGATTTTTCACCCATAAAAGGAGACTCAAAGTAGTGTTTAAATTTTTATTTTTGCAGCATGAAAATTGCAAACCAGATTTTTTTTAAAAACTGTAAAGTATATGCAAATGTTAAGGGCAAAAAGTCTTTTATCCCTAATTTTAACCTATAGCCCATTCTGGAGATGCATATAAATACCTCTATCCCTCTGTTCCTCCCTCAATAATGAAAGTCTGGTCAAACATTAAACTAAACACAGTGCTGTTCACACACACACTCACACACATGTGCATGCACATGCAACGTGTTCATAGGAAATACATTATCAAGGGACAAGTGACTATTTCAAAGAGAAGGCTGACTTTCACAGAAACGTTCTTTAATTGTAAGTAGTGTTAATCCCTATGATGGATCTCTACAATACCCTGTTTAAATTGCAATTATAGTTGTTTGTTCAAAAGAGAGAGAGAGAGAGACTTGTGATTTTCTACAACTTTTTCAGGAGAAAACAAACGAGGTCAGATTTCAGCTTATAAACTCACATTAGTTATACAAGACCTTCTGTATCACTTATCAATTGCTGAATAACAAGTTACCCCCACGCAACAAACTGTCTCAGAGGTTCTGTGGGTCAGGAATCTGGGCATGACTTAGCTAGGTGCCTCTGGCTCAGGGTCTCTCATGCGGTGCAGTCAAGCTCTAGGCTGCGTCTAAAGTCATCTTGAGTCCCAACTGCACTTGGAGAATCCACTTCCAAGCTCATGAAAGTGGCTGCTGGTGGGAGACCTCAGTTCCTCTCTTATGGCCTTCTCCATAAGCTATCCAAGAGTGTCCTCATGACATGGCAACCGATAAAGAGAGAAAAAGGAAGGGGAAGGGAAAGAAAATGACAGAGAGCCCAAGTCAGAAGCCACAGGTTGGGCTGGCCAGTTAGCCCAGTTGGTTAGAGCAAGGTATTATAACACCAAGGTCAAGTGTTCAGATCCCTGTACCAGCCAGCCGCCAAAAACTTTTTTTACAAAGCCACAAGCTTTCTGTAACCCAATCTTGGAAGCGATACCCCATCACTTCTGCCATATTCTATTTGTTAGAAGAGTCTCTCATTCGTCCCACACGCTAGAGGAGTGGATTACAGAAGGGTGAGAAAACCAGGAGGTGGCTATCACTGCCTACCATACCTTCAATCTGATCAGACTGGCAAACTCTACAAATACAGCATTCTTCAATATATTTGTGTAAACACAATTAATGGCAAGACCGAGACTGGGTGGAAAAATACATGCTCTCTCACTACTATACCTTTGCTTCAGTCTTTTATTTTCCTTCTTTGGGGAAAACAAGTCCCAGAAACTGG